TTGAGGAAGAGCATGAGTTCTTTGCCGAGCTGAATGCGCACTTTCATCTGGTTTGGTCTGCCGCGGTTTCCGTAGACTCGTGAACGCGCTTTCAGGAAATCCTATACACTACTGTTTATGCTCTAAAAACATTCTAAATGACTTCGTTTCGGCTATTATTCTAACTCAGTCATTACAGGTTTGATCTGCAGCCTCGACCTTCATCAACTTCCACACCTGTGTAAATGGAGGAATGATAGAAATTATGTCAGCTGGTCCGGTTTAGCTCTGGAATGCAGCGGACGTGTTTTTTAAGTTGTTTTTTTTGGAATAGTTTTTTTTAAGTGATAAGGTTCATTTTCAAGGCAAAGAGGGACTTTGAAAGTAATTGCAATTCAGCTAATTATTCCTCATAATATTATATAATTGCCATTATAGTCTACGGTCTATGGATGAAAACTAGCTTTGTAGCTATAATCTGGCATATTTAGATTTGTTTTTATACTGATGTTCATTAATGTGCATTGTCCCTATTCAAATAAATAAATAAAAATGGAAGCTAAATCAGCTGACTTTGTGAAAATCTTGGCCGCAACTCTACATCCATCCTTCCATCCATCCTTCCATTTTTCCATCACGTTTCTCCCTGCTGGGGTCGTGAGGGGTGCTGGTGTCTATCTCCAGCTGTCTACATGCGAGAGGCGGGGTCCAACCTGGACAGGTCGCCTGTCCATCTCAGGACAAAGCAGAGACAACCAGGACAAACAACTAATCACAATCACACCTAAGGAGAATTTAGAGAAGCCCATTAACCAAACATTCATGTTTTTGGACTGTGGGAGGAAGCCTGAGCACCCGGAGAGAACCCACGCATGCTCAGGGAGAACATGCAAACTCCATGCAGAAAGATCCCAGGCTGGGAATCGAACCCAGAACCTTCCCACTGCTCCACTGAGCAGCCCACAACTCTACAATAAGCAAATATTTTAAGCTGCTTCATCTGGACCATTAAATTCTGAAACATTAAATCTTTTCAAGATGATTTATCATCTAGAAAAATGTCCCTTTTATTGATATAATTCATTACAAAATAACATCAATTATGAAATGCAAAATTGAATGATCATTAATATAAAACAATGGAATTAAACTTTTTGAATAACGAGTTTGGTTTAAAACATGGTGAATATTTGGAAATTCAGCCCACTGCTAAGCAAGGTGGAGGATCTGTGGTGCTGTGGGCCTGGTTCTCCACCAAAAGCCAGGGTAACTGAGTTATAGTGTCTATCATTAGCTCTGAGAAAAACCAGGATCTTTGAAATAAAGATCTGTAAATGAGAGACGGAAATCAGCCGTCTTCCGTAGTAATCCCAGTCTATTGCTGTAGAAAGCAGGTGGGCTGAGATAGAATTAGAAAGGACTAATCCAGAGGTTACAGTAGGTCGTANTCTCTATTCTACCCTGGAAGCTGGTGGAGACGTGCCCTAAAAATGCACACCGCACCGTTCAGATCTGTGTTTGTGGATTAAGATGGAAACGTTCCAATTTGTTTTCTTTTTGATGTCAGCTGCAATTAATTGTCGCATCACAGAAATCATTGAAAACCTGGAGATGGATGAGGAAAACTGCATGGAGTGTGAATACTTTTAGATTATCTTAAACATCTTGATCTGGATTCCAAAAAAGTTTTTTAAAAAAAACAATCCACTGGACTTTGTTTCCAAGTTTGAAGACGTTTCTCTTCCCATCCAGGAAGATTTTTCAATCCAAAATGTCAGAAATAGCGTTGAGTTCCAGGTTTTATACAGTCAGGCTATTTGTTGTGGAAAATATTTAAAAATTTTTTCCTTTATTTAATGAAGGAGCTTTATGGTTCCACCCCTTCAAAGTCTGACAGTAGTGTTAAAAAACTTTAAGAATGACTCAAATTTTGCATTTTCACAGGGTCTGCTGCTTCAGATGTTTTACTGAAATATTAGTACAAGCATTTCGAAAGTATCTAAATCTTTTATTGAGAATTGAGTTCATACAAGAAGTCAATATTCAAAGTGTTGACCCTGTTTTTTTTATTACCTTTCAATACTTGCTGTTAATCAACTTCTGGACCAAATCCTCCATTCTTGCATAATCAATTCTGCCATTAAGATCTGTGGAGTTTCTATTTGCCCAAAACCTTTACGTTTGTTCCCTGCACCATTTAGTTCCTACTTTTACTTTATTGAAAGGTGCTGCGTTACGCTGAAACAAGCATTGTTCATCACCATTCTACTCCCGTCTGCCGCCAGTGTTCTGTCAGACCAGCATACCCCGTCAGACCAGCATACCCATAGTCAATACGTATGCGCAAGACGTCAGATTTGTGTTTACGCCTTTAGTTTGACAAAAATTTGACTTTGAAATACCTTAACAGGCATCTATTCCTTCAGTCATGTACAAAAATTTAAGGTCTGATCGCCATATGCTTCAAAAAACACCAAAAAGTCAGTGATTAAATCGTTTTTTTGTACATGACTAAAGGGATACATGCATATTGAGGTAGTTTTAAGTTAATTTTTTGTACAAAACTAAAGGGATAAACAGGTTTTGACTATGGGTGTGCTGGTCTGACTGAACGCTGTTCATGAAAAAGTTTTGCAGCTTCCCTCTTTGACCATTTTTGCATAATGCAGCGATGACTGCAACTGTGTCCTTGCAGATAACCGTGGCTAACAAAGAGGAAAAATGATCTTAAAGGAATAGTACACCCAAAACATGATTAGCCTTCATTTTCTACTCACCCCCATGCTGAACAACACTCTGGAGTACTTTTTTGA